CCGCCCATTAAGTGAAAATTGTTCCTGGGTCAATTTTACTATAATGCGGGCTTATTTTTTAAGAATTTCTATTTTTGTAATGAAAAAATTAAAAAATTAATTCCGGCCGGAATTTAGTAAACAATTTTGTAATGTGGGCCAAAATTTTGAAGATCCTCGGCCGTTAACCAATAAAAATCGAGGATCTGCCGGTCCAAATTTGTTGCGCAGCTATGGTTAATTTTTGAATTAGTATTAGTCAACAAAATTGGACTGGTGGATCCTCGATTTTGATTGGCTAACGGCCAAAGATCTTAAAATTGTTTACTAATTTCCGGCCGGAATTAACTTTTAATTTTTTCGTTACAAAAATAGAAATCTTAAAAAATAGGTAAGATTGGCCCGAGATCAATTTTCACTTAATGTGCGCTATGATTTCATTAGTAAATTATGAGTAATTTTGGCCTGAGTTTTTGATCGTCGCTCTTAGCCATCCAATTTTGTTGCGGCTCATAATAATATATTACGTAATATTTAAATCATTTGTAAATCGTTTTTTAATTTAAATTGTGATTTTTTCCATCCCTACTTACAATCGTATATTCACATATGATAAATCAGATAGAAAAAAACTTAATAACGCCCTATTTTTAGAACAAAAAAGTGAAGATAGCAAAGGATACATTTTTAACACTTTATAATAATGGTAAATGCAAACGAGTGGTTAGATAAAAAAATTCCGGCAGATGAAAGAGAAAAAGCAACAACACTTTGCATCTATCATCAAAATTGTTCATATAGGAGTTCTCAAGACAAGAGATATTATACATATCCTACTAATGAAGAACAGAATAACTCTCAAAGTGCTCCACATTATAGTTTTTATAATGTTATTTTGGAAGGAAAGTTAGATCTTAACAACTTTGTTAATTTGAATGAACTACGTATCGAAGGTGATGACCAGTACAAGGATAAGGATCGGCGACAAAAGTTAACTAGCTTGAAGATTGATAAATGTACTAAGTTAGCTAAGATCACAATTAATTATACTACTCTTGGTTATTTAAGCTTAGGTAGTAAACCGAACTTGCAATCTGCTAATTTTACTAGTAACAAATGGCTTAATTTTTGTGACAATCTATTAAAAAACCAAGTAGGAAAATTAACCAGTTTAATCCTAGCTAAAGACGATAGTGATTTAAAATTAGAGGTTAAGAGAGTTAATAAAGAAAGCTTAGAGTACCAGTTGGATGTTACTAAAAGTAATTTGGATAGAAGTAATCAATTATGGTTAGAAAGTTTGGTAGATTCTCAAAAAGAAATTTTAAATAATAGCAGTGCTTATGCCCATAAACAATTAGAAAGATGTAAAACAATATTGTCTGAAGTGTTAACTGCTGAAGAAATTCAAGATCTTTTAAGAAAAATTATAGAAATAACTGAATTGGAAACTCGATTAAATAAAGCATCTTTGAAAGATTAATACGGCTTCTATAATATAAGGCTGGTAAATATCATTTTATTCATATTATTATGTAAATCATGAAGAAAAAGTGATAAAAAAAAAATTAACAGGTATATATTAAATTATTTAGAAAAGATTTAAATCGAAATCCTTCCAAGCAATTCTTCTTATTTCTTAATGTCAGACGCAATATTCTAATAATTACATCAGAGCTCTATTAATTGAAACTTGGTTAATTTCATACTTTGAAAGATGAACATTACTTAATGGTTCTCAGAAACACATATTAGATATTGTGAATCAGAGCATAACTTTCGATATTGTTATTTTATAATCATTGTTTTTTTGACTTTATTATCTATACTTAATAAATTTTCATCAATTATTTCTTTGCGTTTTTTCGTCTGATATATGTTGTATTGTTTTTTCACTATTTTACTTTACATATTGAATATAAAGATGAAGCCTAAATTTCATAAAAAATATTTTCTTTTGAAATTTTGATATAAACTTGTTTATATACTAATCTTAACCATGACCCGACTCGAAATCTGATATTAGTAATGATTGAGCGACATTTGTGAGAACGTTTTGCTATCAATTATTAACAATAAAGAGCGAATGCTAATATTATTTATTAGGATATACCATTTATAAAATAAATTTGGGTCATAAAACTTAGCATAGGCTATTGCAAATTAAATTTGCCAAGGGGGTTTTTTTTTATTTATATTCTTGAAATTTTTTCTTTAACTCTGAAAACCTATTTGAAGTTGATTCGAAATTCTTTAACCAAAAGAAGTTTAAAATTTTAGTATTAATTTTTTAAGTATATCTAAAATATAATTAATAGTTCTATTTGTTCTCAGGAAGGTAAAAAAATGTTTTTTTTAAATGTTCTTAATGATTTCTATAACATGGTTTAAACCATTGATTATTATGACGCCTGATTGCTGGAACTAAAATTACAAAAATTTGGTTTGTTAATTTTAGCTTCAGCCAAGTTTTATTTCAATTCTTAAGCAAGATACTTGCGTTGTTTAGCATAGCGGGCTTTAAATTTGATTGGATGATCAACCGAAATGTTACACAATATGAAAGACATATTAGCATAACGTTTTGCAGCTACAAAAATGGATTGGCAGCCACGGGTACGAATTGGCAAAGCTTGACACCAAAAAAATTCGATAGAGTACCTTCCGTTCTATCAACTGTCATAGTAATTCGGTAATCCGCGAAATAATTCGGAAGTTAGATGAGAGGTATGTTTAAACGTTTTAGCTTAGCTTATAAGTATAATAAATTTATTAAACTCAGCAATTTAGGCTGTCTTTTGCTTGTGAAAACCTTTTCTTCGTAATATAAACTAACAAAAAATTTTACTATATAGGCTAATAATTTGAAGTTGAGTTATAAGGCTTATAAGTTTCGTGAAAAGGTTAAAATGGAATATAGCAGTATTATTGTAACTGTATAATGAACGATTGTTGATTGTTAAATAAAATTAAAAATCAGTTTGATGTTAGAACAAGTATTAAAAGTGGGGTTTGATTATTTTTATTAGTGTTAAGAATAGTTTAAATATTACTTTATGTATTTTTTTATTTTACTTAATTTATTTTATATACTTTATTTATTTTTTATTTATTTTTTTTGATTTGTAATATGCTAAGATTCTTTCTTAATAAAATATTTGGGTTGTCAAAACTTTGTTTGCGACAAGATTATAGTTTTATGTTTAAGGCTATTAAAATTTTATGGAAAAGGCGGTAAAGATTTAGCCAGTATTGAATTTAGTTACTTTCTTTATGATATTAATTTTCTTTATTTACGACGATTTATTAAAGTTTAAAATTTGATTAACCAATAAAATTTTTATGATTTCACAGGATGATCTACAAAATTGGCCAATCACGATGAAAGCCCGCTATGCTGCGTTGTTTTATAATTCATCTTATCAAATTTTTTTTACTTATAAAATGCTACTTGGGAGTTATTTTTTAAGAAATTCAAATTTGATATTTATTTGAGTATATTTCAGTCTTAAGTAATGATTAATGAAGCTTTATTATGCACTTTATTTTTAATTTACTATTGAACTGATATGCATTGCGAAAAGTTACCAAATTAGAAAAAATACAAATAACTTAAGTAAAAGTTTTTAATAAGATTAAAAATTTGTCTATTTATAAAATTTTAACCAAAATTATATTAGTGTTTAATTAATAATGAATATAAAGTTCTATTAAATCGCACCCTATGTCCTAATATTAACAAAGAAACAAAAAAATATATTTGGTATTGAGCACCAATGGTTGACTTATTGCTATTATTTTTAAAAAGGGATTAGAATGCACTAAAATGGTTTTTATTTGAGTAATTATAGAAATATTTGTAAAGTTGTAACTTTGTAACATGCCATTATATTTTTAAGTATATCAAAGGTTCATATTGATTTTATAATTTATTAAAATTATAAAAGCAAAATGTAGCTTAATTAAAATATTGTCGCGGTGTTTCTTAATGCCCCATGTACTTGTAGTGGTATCCATGTGATTAATGATCGGGTACGTGATCGAATATCGTGATCGGAGATATGCATGATCCCGATCTAATTAAAAGTCTAAAAATAGCGTTGCATGAACAATGTAGTAATTAGAAGCGATTAGTATCGCATGAACAATGTAGCAATCAATAGCGATTAGTAATTAATATGTGATTGCATGAATAATGTAGTAATAAAATATGTATTAGTAATAATATATAAGGCATCGATCCAAATAGGGGAGATGCCTAGCTTTAGCTTTCGCTTCGTGAATAAGCTTCGTTCTTAGTGAATAAACATTGTATCTGTGTGAATACATTGCTGGTGGTAGTATCTGGTACGATACTCCAGTCATCGTAATTGCCAAGCGAGTGAAGATTATTAGTAAAAACTTATAGGATAGTTAAAGTAGTACACGTAGTGTTAGTAAACTACGTGACAAATATATTCACTAAATTTAAATAAGAATCTAAAATTTAAGAATGCCATTTTGCTAATAATTTAAAATAGAAATTGATCAGAATCAAAATATGGAGCAGTGCATTTAAAAAAGAAAACCTTATTTAGTGTGAATTGACTATTAAAGATCTATATTTAAATCATTTTCCGAAAGAACAGATTATTAGAAGGAAGCAATTAATGTTTTATGCAGACTCAGTTTATCCTTTACCTTTATTAAATGAAAACACTTTTGAAAAGATCGACAAATTCGGGTTAACACACCTCAAAAATTTAATGAGGATCAAAAAATTACAAGTTCACCCCTGGCCCTATGCATGGTGCCATCTCTCAAAAAAGGGACGTCTAAAGCGGGGTAGGGGGGTAGTTTAGGCCAGTTTGTTTAGTTCTGGTAAACAAATGACGTCTTAGTATATTTATCATGTGATCGTCAATCACTGGTTTTAGTGTTCTCGGAGTAGATTCTTATAATATATATCTTTTATTATCTTAGATTAAGGTTAGGACAGGTTTTAGAAAGTTAGATATGCAAAATTGCCTTCCCGACATTTTTACTTAACCTACCCTAGGTAGATTTAAATTACTGTTTTTGCTTCGCTGGCGATTGTCAAAGTTCTATAGTTTCATATATCACTTGATTCTGCACCGCCAAAAAGGGGTGTAAAAGCATCATACGTACGTATTTCAGTATTTATGTACAGTTTTAAATTTCCCATTAAGGTGGCACATGATTTAAATTTCAATGTTACAAATCAATGATTTTTTACTTAAATCAATTTAAAGCTGATTTAAATCTTTTATTACGTAACATACTGTATTTAGAAGATATAAATGTATTTTTAAAACCGCAATTGCAATGGTTTTTAAAAGATCGGTGTTTAAATAACTATTAATATAAATCGAATGCTTTGTATCATTTGTAAATCATTTTTAATAAAAATCGATTTAAATCATGATTTTCGCCATCCCTACTTACAATCGTATATCACATATGATAAATTAGAGAAAAAAAAAAAAACTTAATAACGCCTTATTTTTAAACCAAAAAAGTAAAGATAGTAAAGGATTCATATTCAACACTTTATAATAATGGTAAATGCTAACGAGTGGTTAGATAAAAAAATTCCGGCGGATGAAAGAGAAAAATCAACAGCACTTTGCGTCTATCGTCAAATTTGTAAATGTAGTAATTATCATGACAATAGATATACACATCCTACTGATGAGGATCAAAGTAATCCTGGCACTGCTCCACAATATCATTTTTATAATGTCATTTTGGAAGAAGAGTTAAATCTTAACGACTTTGTTAATTTGAATGAACTACGTATCGAAGGTACTGGTCAAGACAATGATAAAGTACAAAAATTAACTAGCTTGAAGGTTGATAATTGCACCAAGTTAACTAAGATTACAATTAATAATACTACACTTGGTTATTTAAGCTTAGGTAGTAAACCAAAGTTGCAATCTGCTAATTTCGCTGGCAACAAATGGCTCAATTTTTGTGACAATGTATTAAAAAATCAAGTAGGAAAATTAACAAGTTTAATCCTAACTAAAGACAATAGTGATATAAAATTAGAAGCTAAGAAAGTTAATGAGGAATGCTTAGAGTACCGGTTGAGCATTGCTAAAAGTAATTTGGATGAAAATAATCAATTATAGTTAGAAAGCTTGGTAGATTCTCAAAAAGACATTTTACGTAATAACAGCGCCTATGCCAGTAAACAATTAGAAAGGTGCAAAAAAAATATTGTCTGAAGTGCTATCTACTGAAGAAATTCAAGATATTTTAGGAAAAACGATAGAAATTACTGAATTAGAAATTCAATCAAATAAACTCAACAAATTAACTTTAAAAGACTAACAGCTATATGAGAAGTCGGTTTTATAATAAAAACCTGGTATATATATGATTTACGATAACAGTCGTCATTCCATATTATGTATCATAAGGTAAAATAGATACGTATAAAATTATTAAATCTATATTAAATTATTTAGGGAAGATTCAAGAATTCCAACTTTAAATTTTTAAGTCAAAATCCTTCCAAGAAATTCATCTTATGTTTTAGACGCAGATTCAGATCATTATTCCAATATTTGTATAAGAGCTCTATTAATTGAAGCTTTGGTTTAAATAGATGAAAGTTACTTAATGATTCTCAGAAAAACATATTGTGAATCAAACATTTTGTGTTGCGAACATACGTAGCTTTCGATAATAATTTTTCATTATGTATTAACAATTCTTTTTTCCGATATTAAATTTTATTGTTTTATATTTGCGTTATCATATTAATTATTATTATTATTTACTTTAGATATAAAATATAGTGATGGGACCTAAAATTTCATAGAAAAATAATTCTTTTGAAATTTTGGTATAAACTTGTTTTCCCAGAATATTTTTATTTTTTTAAGTATAAAATTATCATTTAAAAATGCTAATAAATTTTATAATTAAATAAAAAATACGTTATGGTTAATATAACATAAACATTAAATACTAATCTTATTACAGTATTGGATATGCCGTATTATTCGAGTCATAAAACTTAATTTATGAGTATTTGAGTTATTATATTACAAAATAATTCGGTTGATTAAAGAATTCAATTCTCACTTTAAAATTATCGTGCTTTTCAAATTACTGTGATCATAACCGCCAAACACATAAAATCTGGAAATTTTCTATTTTTAAAAAATTGCCAATTAAAAGTCACAATTCCAAAGATTCCTTATTGAATTCTAATTCTCTAATACATTATACATTTACCGGTATATATAATATCAAGAAGCGCTAATATTTTTAACTTTTTTTACCTAATTTTTTTCAAATTTAAACCAAATTTATCTTAATATATCTGCTTATTATCGATATCAAAGCTATTTTCAAATTCTACTAGCTAGTAGAACTTAAAAATGGTCTTAAACACTAAAATCAACCGGGCCATTGGATGTTCTCAATCGAGATTTCATAGTGATCTAAATAGTGCACAAGTATTATGACGTAATTTTAGCTATTGCCGTAACTTTTTGGATAAAAGTCAATAATATGAATAGATCTCAATCACAAGTCGAGAAGATTCTAAATAGTTTATCAAAATTTTACAAAAAATATATGTCGATAATAAATATCCATAATAAAAGTATGAAAACACTTGAACAATACTTTATTCATTTTAATATTTATAAAGTCAGGGCAAAAAAAAAAGGTGGTTAGGGACAAAAAGTTTTTTGACTGAAATGGTAATCTCACTTCTCATTTTTTACTATTTAAAATTTTTTTTCACGTAATAAACCACCTTACTCATCTTAATACAAGCTCGATTGATCGATTAAAATTACCTTCCGTTAATTAAAATTTAATTCTCGACACATTTTTGACATAATTTGATCCATTAATCGAGGCGCTTGAGAATGCCATTATTGAAAAATCTTCAATCAATTTTTTAAAAAATCTTTCAATATTAGAATTTTATACATAATACGTACACACAGCACACCGAAAATGTGTACAAGGTTCCGATCTGGATGATCACGTGATAGTCCGGATGACTACTCCGGAAGGCGAAAT